TCTTGCTCTCCTGTGCATTGAAATGGAAATGTATATCCTCTTTAACTTTTGCAATGTTCCACAGCTAACCACTGAGCTGAAAAGAAAATATTTTCTTCTACATTGCATCTTTACTTTGATGACGACAGCTAAGTTTGGCCGAGCAGTTGGCGGGTATACGTAAGCGTTCGTAACCATCCGCCTCTTATCGAGAAACATAAACCCCTCCTCTATTCCCAGGACTCACGTCGATGATAAAACATGATGATTTATCGAAAGCTTACGTATGTTTTCCAACTGTTAGTCTGAATTCTCTCATGGGAGTTTTTGTAACTTTAAAACAGTTAACTTGTTGTTTGAAACTGTGACTTCGTAGTTTACCAAAACTGTAATGAGGTTCGAACAGGATGCCAGTATACAGTGTCTCTCAACGGCAATGCCAGCTTCCTCTTTCAATTTTAGATGAACAGCAAGTATGATCCTGAAACCGAGAAGGAGGTGATCGATTGGATGAACCAAATCACTGGTGAGAGCGTTCCGCTAGGTCGTGAAAACGTTGCCGCAGCCTTGAAGAATGGCCATATTCTCGTTAAGTAAGTAGACCCATTTACCTTCTCTCCCCTTTACGTTTACACATGACCACGATCAATTTAAAGCAAAAATGCATATCAACGCAAAGGGTTTTTGTCTGTACGGATTTTATTTTACGAAATTTAGTGGTCCTACGGAAAAGGGATTAAATCCAAAATTTACATTATGTACACAAGATTTATCTCTTTTATCAGCGTTTCGACTGAGATTCTACCCTTCTGCTAATGATATACATCTTTGATGATTCTACAGTCAGCGAATGTTTGTGAAGTGAAATATTGCCACTGATTTGTCTCGAATGTCTTGTTTGAGTTTGAAGAAGTCTAGTGACTGCATCATAGGCGTCATTTAGTAAAACATTTTAAATAGCATCCTGCGAGGCCTTGCTCCTTTCTGTCACTAGACGTATCAGCAAATCAACTTAATGCCTTTTTAATCGCGATACAGGTCCTTACGGTTCCTTTGCCGGTAGGTTTAAATTTCCCAATTTAACCCTTGGTGAAACAAACATTACGTATTAACTTTGACAGACAATCCGAAGTCTCCACTTCAAACACATCAAAACGCGTTCAAACTTCTATAGTTTCCGAAAAATGATCAAGAAGTTTTTACTGTCTGCTATTTTTGCTTTTGCTTCACCTACTGCGTCGTCTCACTCGGCATCAATAATCTGAGGTACTATTGCCGTGGTAGTAATTACATGCCTACTCATAATAAGTGAGTAGGTGTTTATTTTTACTATTTTCGACTAATCGACGGCTTCTGGCTTTTTGCATGCAATAATGCAAACGACCTCTTTTTTGATTTTTTCTGCTGTATCGATGCATTTCTTAGTCACTGTTTTACTTGTAGAGAACTAAACGCCCTTACTCGCTTATTTTTTCATTCGTCTTCGAACTTTGCTGGCTCCGCTGGCATAAGCCTAATTTTTTGAACCGTAATCCCTTTATCTCGCGTGAGGCTAATTGCAGACCGTTCCTTGGACTTTCCGCGTACGCATGACTGTTCCTATGTGTAAAATTATTGTCTTTAAATAGCGTAAGTGACACTGCACGTGTACGTATTTGAACTACGTTACCTTGAATAAATCTTAAGAGTGAGGTCTTGAACCGTACATAGTATATGTATACACAATAATTAGGAGCACAACGGAGGTTTAGACCTAGCGATTCGAGTTTTCTCACCGACTTCATCTTGGATTATGCGGAAGACCTGTCAGTACTTTGAACCAGGAGCATTGCAAAGTTGGTTTCAATCCACTTCAAAGATCGTACCTGAGCATAGCTTTAAAGTTTTATTCTTTCCTCGCAAGCTTGAAGAGCGGAAGTTGATATCCATCTGCTACACTGCAGGCACATTTAGGCTTAGTTATTTTCTGTCCTCAGAGGCTTATATAAGGACTGAAGAAAATTTACGGAGCAGGCACAGCTGAACTTTTTAAAAGCAGCACCGTTTTACCGATTGAATTCCAGTTCGTCTAAGTG